AATATATACATATATATAATATATATACACACATATGTAATATATAATGTAATCTTTTTTTTTGGGAGAGGTTTTTGCTATAGGGTGCATGCCCTCGCCAGAAAGACAGAGATAGAAAGATAGAAAGCGAGAAATCACCCCCCAGTGGGGATGGCCACGCAACAATCCCTTCTCCTTCATTCTCCTCTTGGGATCTTGGGCATGCACGCACACGCTCCCGGCGTGAGTTTAAGCCACCAGGTCCAGGACTCAAACAGCAGTCGACTACATGGGAGTTCAGTGACATAGCCATTACGCTAACTGCTGGTCCCTAGAATGTAATCTTTGTATGTGGTGAGTATGTTTATGTTTATATACTTATCTATGTATGTATATATAATAGGTGATTCACATTCAAAATCATAGACTGTAAGTCATGTGACATAATCTCAACAAAGTACGTTTTGTATATGGAAAAGTAACTTAGTGATAAATTACTTTTTTCTGGCTAGTTCCCTGAAAAAAGCCCCCAAAGTTCTCCAGAGTGGTTAAACCATGGCTCCATTGCTATCGCTTATTGTGAGTCTCCAGAGCAAGCAGAACACAGTCACTGGGAAGGACTTCTTCAACCTGCAAATGAAAGGTGCCCCTGAAATGGCTGTCCTTAATTTTATTAACCATTCCCATTTACCATTGAGAATCAGGTTTCTCAATGTTCTCGAAGTGGTGGATGCCTAGCACACAGGTGATGGCTTCTCGACCCACAGCAATAGGATGGGGCCCCAAATGCTCACTCTCCTCAACCTCTCCTTAGCACACAATCTTCCTCTGTGGTGCTGAAGCAACTGAAACATGCAAATTACTCACTGAAATATCTGCAGAGAATATGCTCCATTATCTCAATGTTATCATATAGTCAAATTCTCTCACTATATTGTTCATGCTTAAAGAGATTTGTCCAGCTGTGATGGTGCCAGCCATAGGGCACCACAGTGAGATATTGTAGTACTTCCTACATTGGAAGGCTGGGAGTTTGGATCCCAGGGCAACCTGAAAACGCTGGGCACATCTATTATCCTGGTTAGCTGGAAGGCTGAGGGGAGGACTGCTGTGTGGCAAAACTCTGTCAGAGAGTCCTCCCTCTTTCTCGGTAAATAAGTAAACTTTTCTTTTTAATAAAAAATAAAATAAAGAGGAGACTGCCTTTCAATATAACAAGTGACTCAGTGTTCCGCCTGCTAACTGTAAGCAGATCACACATCACAACTTGCAAGAACTGATCCCAGGCAGAGGATATCCTCTGATAGTGCTCTCTCTCCATTAGAAATTTAATTTGTCAAAAATTAATCATTTTTGTACTGGTCTGTGATATTTTTAAAAAGTCTCATGGGACACATGAAAAATAAGTTTTGACTTATTCAATGTTCAGTCAGTTACTGTAAAAGGGCAAGTAACCATCTGAAATGAAAAGCACATGTAATTATCTTTGGGATACTCTTTTTTGCCACAACGTCATCATGGAAAACTATAGAAGAGGGTAGGGGAACATCAAGTATCCCATGAACCCATGGCCAACAGACTGGCTGTGGCACCGTTTCTTACTCTCTTTTCTTTACTTAACTACTTAAACAGTGCTTGAGCTTGTTAAGCTTTTCCTCTGATCTTCTGTACAAACACTTCCATATAAGGCTCCATGCCCACAATGAGGTGCTGTCATTTGCCCTTTGTAGACAACCTTAGAACTCAGATGAATGTGACAAATCATATATGCCAACTCCTCATTTCAAGTATGAGGATACTGAGGCCAGGTCAGAGACTTTATAATAGATGATGTACAGACAGTAAGGAGAGATGCAGAGATAAATGGACAAAGGGACGGATGGATGGAAAATCATACAGGATTGAATGTCAGAAACTCATGTTTTTGGCTTCATCACCAACTATTTATTTTAAACCTAAGAAAACGATCTTATTTCTCTGAGGCTGCTTTCCCTTATTTAAAAGGTGATCCTCTTGAAGGCTCTCCCAGGTCCCTTCTGGTTCTCATAGTCTTTGAGTTTATTACCTGAGAGAACTTTCAAATCTATTCAACAGGTCAATGCCAGGGCCACTGTATCAGTCACCCAGAACTGAGACTCGTAGTACCTTAATCATGGAAGGGACTCATGAGATGTTATTAACCCAGAGATTTGATGCCCTCTGGGCATCCTGATTGACATGCAATGCCTCCTTTAACCTTACTCTGGAAGAGAGACTGTGAGCAAAGTTCTCGAGGAAAGAAGACATTCCCACCTTGAGTCAAGACATTTAAATATAAAAACAGGATACTGGAATGAGCAGTGATTATATACCCTTATATCACTGGCTGAATAGGAAAGTCCGTGTTACCTATGTCACCCTGGAGATCTGTGTGATTTTCACTTTTTTTCTGAAAGTCCCTTGTGAAATGTGAGACAATCTCCCTGGGGTTATACATCTTTATATCATACTTCTACTTGCTCCCACCCATTTAATTTTTTTTCTCTAGATCCAAATTTCATTTGGCTGGAAAGACTGCATGAAAATGGTTGTCTCTGGAAAAAATCCCCTCTGCCTGTTCAAAGAACCTTTCTCCATAACAACTGTTTTCCTAGGCTATAAAACAGCAGGGGCAGAGAAACTGTATACACGGGCAGGCCATTACACTCACACAGATGAATTTTTCCCCTCTCCGCTAGTTCTTAAACATTAGAGCAACCACCATTTGTTTTCTGAAGCTCAGCCACCTTGTTAGTTCTCTGAATGTTACAGGAAGTGCTGGCCATGAGGCAAAACTCAGCCTCCTTTATGCACAAGAAAATAGCAGAAGAACATCTATCCAGGAGCCACCTAGTTTAAGCTTCTTTCTCAGGCAGGTTGGCATTTGAACTATCCAAGACATGGCTGTTGCTTCTATTTTTAAACAGAGATTTTAAAAAGGCTCCTGAATGAGCCTTTCTCTAAGCTTAATTTACTCTCAACATTGATTTCCTTACACCTAACAACCACCTCCCCCTCAACCCTGAGCCTTGCTATAATTTAAGCCTTCTTCCTCTTTGGTCCTCAGTGGAGTGTAAGGCACTTTGGTGTTTATGCTATGTTTAATGCAGGGTCATAGCAGTCTACAGTTCACAATTTCTGCTCTGGAAACCAAGGAGTGTTCATGGTGGTATCTGGATTTTGTTTAAACTGAGTGGCCCTAAGTCTGTCGCCTGCTTATCAAGTATAAAGAGGAATCAAGAGATGTTACCAAGTCCCTAAGTTTCCTGGGTCTAGGTGTGGCCAGAAAGTCTCAAAGGGTTTAATGAGAAAAAGCTGAGCGAGTCCTCTGGGGAAAAATGAGGTCCGAAGCACAGGGAGTCATCCCTGAGCACACTAAGTGGAATGGAGGGTATCTACAAATGGAGCACCAGATCCTGAGAACTATCCCTGACGAGGAAAGGGAAGGCAGCCCAGGGAGTGGTTCTGGCAGGTGACTTGAGATGTTACAGGGCTATGGCCAAGACTACAGAAAGGCTGCTATAAGTCATGGTGACCATTAGATGGCATCCCAGAGGGCTACCTTGGAGCCTTTGTAGGATCTTCCATGCTAAGGTCATCAGGAGGGCTCTGGAACAACAGCCCAGACACAGGCTGGGATGCTCTCCAGGGGATCACTTAACATTTTCTGAGCTCATTCTCTACAGCGGGCACATAGCATCATTTTCATTTGATTTGATAGAGAAGTTTTTTTTTTTTTTGGAGAGGTTTTCGCTATAGGGCGTGTGTGCTCACCAGACAGACAGAGAGAGACATAGAGACAGAAAGCGAGAAATCACCCCCCAGGGGGGATGGTCACGCCGCAATCCCTTCTCCTCCATTCTCCTCTCGGGATCTTGGGCACACATGCACACGCACCCAGCGTGAGTTTTAAGCCACCAGGTCCGGGACGCAAACTGCGGTTGACTACGTGGGAGTCCAGCGACATAGCCATTACGCTAACTGTTGGTTCCCGATAGAGAAGTTTTTGTTATTATCCTCTTTTTGCAGAAGAGGAGACTGAGGTTTAGAGAGGCTCCATAACTTGCTGAAGGCTGGAGAACTCTACTTGTTTGTCCCAGAGCTCAATTCTTAACAGTTCTATTTTACAACCTGCATCTCAGTTTCCAGGGACAGTAAAAAAAGTCCTATGTTTTAACATCCCTCACTCTGAGAAGACAGAATATTAATTTTCCACCAGAGATCTGATATGGTTTAGAGACACACAGATGCTGGGCGGAGAATACAGACAGCGTCTCAGACCTGGAACTGCAACCAACCTCAGGTCCTGGGGAAGGGTGTGGCTCTGGAAGGGTGTTACTCTTGTGTTTACTCAAAGATAGTCATTAAGTCACTGTGAAGACATCTTTCTAGCAGACTAAACAACCCACTCCTTTTTTAAAAAGCTTTCCTCACAGCAGCTATTTTTTGGTACCATCTTTCTATATTTACTGGTTTTCCCCCAAGCACTCCTGTATCCTCCCATTCTCTATTTTAAAAAGTCCTATAATGAAATTTTGATCCATGCCACTAAAAGACAAGAGTTATTTTCACAATTTTCATCTGCAACCCTAACAAATTAATAAAAAGTCAACGGCAACGGAGTGGTGATCAGCCCCCTTGTGGTCCACTTTTACTCTCAGGTTAATTCTGGCTATTGCTACTCTAACTAACTTTCCATTCGCTGTTGGTTTCTGATCCTATTGAACTGCATCATGTATTCGAGGGACTAATCTTTAGTCTCATGCAGCCCTAAAATGGTCCTTACACACACTTGAGTCAGCCTAGTTTCCTTCTGCTTCAAAAAGAGCCCAGGGTTCAGAGACATCGTTTGGGCACTGGGGATATTAACAATGATATTCTTTCTCCCTGCAGGGGCCTTCCATCCCCCTTGAGGAAAGGTTCAACCCAAGGATTCTTAGATATGGTCTCTGAGTAGTTTATCATCCCAGAGGTTGTAACAGCTTTGAAGGGGGCCCACTTACTTCGAGGTTCTCGGGGTCCATCCACTGTTATTTTGATGGCTCTGTGGTAGGTGGCAACTTGTGGTGGGTTTGTGAAGACAGTGATAGTCAGAGTGAAGCTCTTCCCTGTTGGAACACCAAAAAGAACAACAAAAAATTAGGTGATGGCTTGAATACATCTGTTGGGTCACTGATCACTGATTTACGCTTTCTAGCCAGCCCTCAACTGAAGGTGTCAGTACTTTAGCACAGGTTGTTGGTTTTTCCAACACTCCCTTGAATGTGGCTTTGTTTAAATTCTGGAATGCACACCTATGGTATTTGTCTAGGTGTAATCCTTCACATAGTTTTATGACTTTAATTTAGTCATTCATAAGCAACACAGGATCAAGAGAGATTAGAATGTATTTCCTTTCAAGCCAAGACATCAGGGAACCATAGAGTCAAATCACCACCTCCTCATTTCCCAACATTCTCCCCAGTTATTTATAAATGCAGAACAAAGAGGAATAAAAGAAACCAAACCCATCTTTCCCTTCTAACTTTTTATGTAACTCTGAGGATCAAGCAAATAGAATTTCTAAGTGTGAGGATAGCTAAGTTAGACTTGTTCTCTCTGTATATTAAAAATATTAATTGCTTCCTTTTTTATTTTTGAAGAATTCTTTATTTAGTATTATTTATTATTATTATTTCTTCCATTTTGACCAGAGATAGACAGAGAGGGAAAGTGAGAAAGGAAGCTGCCAGTCTGGGACTTGAACCACGGTTGGACATCTGGGAGTCCAGCGCCCTTAACCACCATGGCACCGACTGGCCCCACTTGTTGATTTTAAATATAATTTCTAATGTCAGATGTTATTAGAGGCACTCATGGGATTGCCCAGAATAAAATTTATGTCAATAAATGGACTTAAAGACATGTAACTGACAGAGATTTAGTATTATTAATATAAATGTACACATGGATTTCCATGTAAACATTTCACATACATTTGTATAAGATGGATACATCTTCATTAATATTTTTGGCCAAGTGGGGAGAACTCTGTGTTTTAATTCTGCCTAACAAGTCAGACTTCTCTATGCCTTAGTGTCCTTACCTGGAAAACGGGTACATGCAACTTTTCCTACCTTACTGAATTCTGAGACAGATTAAATGAATTCAATGTAAGTAAAACCATTAAAACAGTATCTGTCAGGCAGTATTTAAAGGGATGGTGTATGTTTGTGTGTGTTCACTTGTATTACTTCTCTGTTTCTTATAAAAAGGTCTTAACATTTAACTAGATATGAAGTTCAGTCCTATAGTAGTTATTAAATTAATATAGTTTCTCCTCTTGATTATGTAGCATGAAATAAAACCAAAAATAAATGAAAATAAAACAAAGCATGCCTATTTACTCCTTTATATGCTCCAAAAACCATTTACCATTTTAAAGTCCAAGTTATCTTCCTTTTTAAAGTTAGAAAGAACAGACTATTTCCCATTGTCGTGTGTGTTTTAATACAAAGGAAGGCCAAGGAAGGTGCTCAATGAAAGCATAATCTTTGGCCATGGCCAGCCAGTGATTCCTAATCATAAAAACCTCCAGCAAACAATCTCCAAGGATCTGTATTCTATCTGTACTAAAGTCTACGATAAAAAGAACAATAGCGAGTGACGATCAGAAGATGAAGCCTACTTTTCCCAGTGCAGTTTAATAACCAAAGTTTCAGCTGACTCATCTAATGGATCAGGTGAAGCTGCTTGTATAGACCCTGAGTATTGGGGGGCCAGGAGGCCCTGCACCCCAATCCATCTTCCCCACCAGCTGACTTCTCAGAACCAGGAAAGAATCCTCTTGGGCTTTAGGGATTTGCCATTTTCAGAACACCCCCAGAAGTCATCAGGTGACACCTGTGGTTTCCCATGCTGGCATCTAGCTGAAGTGGGGGAATGGGCAGGTCAGGCAGCAAGGAGGGAGCAGTGATGTGGAGATGACAGGGCCAATCACCCATCTCACTGCTTTGACCTCAAAGAACAGGTCAAAGAGCAAAGGTCATCACAGTCCTAGGGCAAACACACCTACACAGTCCAGCACTGGCAAACCACGTGTGTTACAAGTATTGGGTAATCAGGAAGGTTATGGTGCATTTTTGCATAGAAAAACATAGAGCAATACATTATGGCTTCCCGATAACCTAATATTATGGTCAGCCTGTCCCTGCTCTGTAAAGAACCCACAGGGCCATTACCTGGAGCATCAAGATTGAACCCTGGCATCAGCTTTTAGGATCTCCTTACAGATACATCTCCATCCATGTAGTTCTGACTTAATCCTCCTGCTCCCCCCAACCCAACTCACGGCCTCCGAATTTGATGCCTCTGGGGTCTTTTTAAGCAGCCATGCAAGCTTCCTTGTTCCACCTTTGCCTGGCCTTCCAGCCTCCAACTCCAGTCAGGCCATTTGTTTCTTAGGGAGCCTTCTTCGTGGCTACAGTTAGCTCTACAGCTGTTTTAGGGTGTCTCATAAACCATTCTTCGCTTTTGGTTAATTAGGACGTTGAACTGAATGAGGTTTGAGGCTGCATAAGCTGATCTCCTCAAGGGCAAGGGTCCTATTCTGTGCCCCCACGCAACTCACCAGAGAGGTGGGGAAGAATGACAGGGGAGGGGGCTTCTGGGAGGGAAGACTGAAATGAAGAAAAAGTACCATGAAGACCCAGGCAACAGAGAATGACATTGTCGCAGCAATGTCTAAGTAGATCTAGGTGTGTGTGTGTGTGTGTGTGTGTGTGTGTGTGTGTGTCTGTGTGAGAGAGAGAGAGAGAGATTTCTTCAAGTAAGAGAGTTATTATAAGACTGGGGTCCTGATACAAATGACATCACCTCTTCAGACATCAGTTTCCTTATCTGAAAAATGAAAGATCATGGACTGCATACAATGCCACCTTTAACTCTCTGTGCTCTGAGAATACAGCCATCAGGATGCCCATGGCCAGGGGCAGGTACGTGGGCCTGGGTGTGCTTCTTCTGTGACCTAGACTTGGAGTCTCAGAGATCTCATGAAAATACTGTGTTCGTAAATCACACTGGGTAGTTTAAAATAACAAAAATTATTCTCCCACAGTTCTAGAGGTCAGAAACCCAAGGTCAAGGTGTGGGCAGGGCTGCAATCCCTCTGAAGGCTCTAGGGTAGAATTCGCCTTTGCCTTTTCCTACTTCTGCTGGCTGCAGGCAATCTTTGGCATCCCCGGTTTAAAGCTGCTGCGGTCTAGTCTCTTCCTCCTTCTTCAAGAGACTATCTTTCAGGGACCAGCAGGTGGCGTGGTAATGAAGGCACTGGATACTCCCACAGGGCTGACCACGGTTCCAGTCCTAGACCTGGTGGTTTGCTCTCTCACTTTCTGTGTGTGTGTGTGTGTGTGTGTCTCTCTCTCTCTGGTCAAATTAAAAAATAAAATGAAAGAATAAATAAAATTTTAAAAATAAATTAAAAAGAGGCTATCATCTAAAACTCCCTCTCATAAAGATGCTGGTCATTCATATCCAGTAGGACCTTACTTTCACTTGCTTAATTCTGTAAAGACCTTATTTCTAAAAAGGTCTACATTTGGAAGTTACAGGTGGACTTGAATTGTAGGGAGTACTATTCAACTGAGTGCTAATACTGATTGTCTTACGAATTCTGGCCACAGCACCACAAGTGAAACTGCTCTATAGGCCCCGGTGCCTTCTAAACTTCCAAAACAGACCTGCTCCTACAGTGATTTTCCTATAACTGTCTTATCCGCATTTCCTGAATGACAACAAAGAATGGCTGTGTTCCCAGGGCTGGCATTCTTTTTTTTTTTTTGGAGAGATTTTCGCTATAGGGCGCGTGCGCTCGCCAGACAGACAGAGAGAGACATAGAGACAGAAAGCGAGAAATCACCCCCCAGGGGGGATGGTCACGCCGCAATCCCTTCTCCTCCATTCTCCTCTCGGGATCTTGGGCACGCACGCACACGTGCCCGGCGTGAGTTTTAAGCCACCGGGTCCGGGACACGAACCGCGGTCGACTACGTGGGAGTCCAGCGACATAGCCATTACGCTAACTGCTGGTTCCCAGGGCTGGCATTCTTGAGCCTATGTAGAACTTAAAACTTTTCAAACACTTTCCCATATACTATGTCATTTGGTGCTCACAAAGATCTCATGAGGTAAGATAGAGTCTATTATCCCTGGTTGATAAGGCAAAGCTAAGGCTTTTCCCCCAAAGTCACACAGCTTATACACACAGTAGAACCAGGATCTCCAGCTTATGCTCGCCATTCTTCATGTTATTGTCACCAAAGTTATAAATCCCTACCTAGAAACCCACTGGTACCAGCACTAGGATTTAGACACATAGCACATTATGCATGCCCTAGTGCTACCCCCAAAAGTGAGAACTGTCCTGTGAACTCTGATGTACACAAACTGCTCGACGGCCAATTGTAAGCATTTTCTCATTGAACTGAATTTGGGCTTTGGCAACTGAGCACTTATGACACACACCCACCACCATCCTGTTAACCACAGACTAGCCTATGTCATCAGGAATGCAATTCAATCCAAGTGAATATCTGCAGAACCATTGGTCATAATCACAATTATTCTTATTTTATGCCCGTAGTTTTACTGCAGTCACAGAAAACTTCTACCGAGTCAAAGCTACCAGGTAGGGTATTTGGGCCACAGGAATAGTTCATGGAAGAAGAGCTAATCCAGTAGTCACCCTCCCAGTGGCTCTCATTTACGGCTTTGAGTACAAAGACATCTGCTTGTCATCTCATAGACAGAGCAATGATTCCTTTCTGGCAGGTGAATGGGACATGCTTCTACTATGTGAAAACTCTGCCTTCACTTCCTTTGCATTCTTCCAGCCAGAGTTGACACCACCCTTGACAACTGGGCTACGGTTTGCCAACGGGTGCATCTGGCAGGAGCCACCTGCTCTGCCCTCCACCCTGCCCCAGCCCATCACTCTGAAATGGGCCTTCTTGGCCAGGAGTGGGAACCACACCTGGAGCGCACGTGCTACTAGCCAAATTTGCTCATTAAAGTGACCTACGGGCCTGGTATTTTAAGTACGTGGGTGTGGAGAGTGATTTTCTCAGCA